TTACCACAATGTACTGAACAATAAGTCGGTTAGGTTCTTCTGTGTTAAACTTGAAATTCTCTACAAAACCAACACAGTTTAATCCAGTAATAGATCCATTTACTTAGATTAAAAGAGACTTATTACTACTAGCTTCTACTTCTAGTGATATACAACACATGTGAATTTGACCTTGCTCAACACATTCTCTGATTTTCATATACTGATCAAAACACGTACTCTCACAAAAATGTTTATACTGCTCCGGTGTAAGCTTGTCAGTCAACTTGGATTTAATGTCATGATTTACTATAAAGTGAATGTGGGGTGCATTTTTTGGTAGCTTTTTGCAAGCATAAGAAGTCCCCTGGCATATTGAATTCAAAAAAATAAAATAATACTAAAATAATACAACGAAAAAAATGATAATAAATAAAAAATCAACACAGTTACAACAACATACAAAAAAAACACATATCGTTACAAATATGTGGTACATTGACATAACTAACACAAAAAAATAGAACACAAAATAAATTTATGGATATGTACTAATATAATACAGAATACAATATACAATTCCAAATCTATGGTACAATAAAACTATGAACTACAAAAATACATACTTGACAAAAACATCAACAAAATTCAATATACATTTCCAAATATATGAATACAAAAAACATAAAACTCTAAAACACAAAAATAAATAATATCAACAATATAATAAAAATTCCATATACACTTACAAATCTATTCAATAATAGTAAATACACAATCAAACTTATAAAATGTGTTACATTGACAAAAAGAAACAGAACACAAAATACAATAAATATATTAAATCTAAAATGAATTTATGGACATAGACTGACATAATACAGAATACAATATACAATTTCAAATATATGGATACAAAAATACGAAATAAAAAAAATACATACTTGACTAAAACATCAACAAAATTCAATATACACTTCCAAATATATGAATACAAAAACCATTAATACTATAAAACATAATAATAAATAATAACTACAACATAATAAAAATTCCATATACACTTACAAATCTATTCGATAATAGTAAATACACAATCAAAATTATAAAATTCGTTACATTGACAAAAAAACAGAACACAAAATACAATAAACATATTAAATACAAAAATACATGATAACTATAACAGTGAATACAAAAAACATTAGAAATATGAAAAAATACAAAAAATAATAATAACTTTAACAAGATGAAAATTCCAAATATACTTACAAATGTATACAATAATAGTAAATAGACAATCAAACTTATAAAGTGTATTACATTGACAACTAACACAAAAAAAATAAAGAACAGAATACAAAATACAATATATATATATGACATTTAAAAAATTTCCCAATTCAAAAATATATAGAAACTATAACAGACTAAACATTCCATATACACTTCCAAACTCATTGTAACATGTATTTTTGTGAATCTTAAAAATTACTAAACAAATTAAACTAAACATGCAATACACAGCACATACCAAAAAAAATTACCTCTTCTCCAAAAAATTGGTCTTCTTCAACTTCATGGTTATGAATTTCTGTGGGATTTTGCACCTCGACAGGTTCAGTCATTTTTTCCCCTCGTATAACCTCCTTAGACTTAGAAGCTAAACCTACATTGTTGTTTATTTCTTGAGTGAAAAAAAATTAAACGATGAAAATTCGGAAGAACTTTAATTTTTTTGTACGATACCTTTAGTAACTCTCTTGAAGGCATCCATTGAAGAGAGAATTTTGTATTATGAAACCCTAAAAAATGATTTAACAACAACAACAAAACAAAAAATTAAAAAAAAACACTAAAATCAGTAAGTAAATCAATAAGGAATATGAAGAACATAATATCCAACTCAATGTGAATCTCCAAATCAAACCTTCAAATGAAGTTACTTGAAAATGATATAAAATAGGAAAATTTGAGAATATGTGAATAAATTAATTTTGAACAAGGTTAGAGCGAGAAATTTAAATTCAAGCGTAAATCTGAAAAGTTGAGGATATGTGAAGAAATTGATTTTGAAGAAGGTGTGCCTATTGAAGAAGGTCAGAGAGAGAACGTGAAATTCCAAACAAAAATCAGGGAAGATGATGAGTTGAATATTAACAAAGATAATAGGAAAATTCGGGAATCTATGAAGAATTAATATTGGAAAATGTTAGAGAGAGTGAAAATCTTTTATTAAGAAAAGTGAAAATAAATCTTGGAAGTTGTGGAATTGCCTATTGAAGAGGGTTAGAGAGAGAAAGTGAAAATCCAACCGAAATTCGGGGAAGAGAGTGTTAGAGAGAGAACGTGAAAATCCAAACGAAAATCGGAGAAGATGATGAGTTTAATATTAACAAAGATAATAGAAAAATTCGGGAATCTATGCAGAATTAATTTTGAAAAAGGTTAGAGAAATAGTGAAAATCTTTTATTAAGAAAAGTGAAAATAAATCTTAGAAGTTGTGGAATTGATTAGTAATAAATATATAGATAGAACTTTATAATAATCTTAATAAAAGAGAGAGAAAGTTTAAAATATCATTATTATATATCTTATTACATAAATATAGGAAAATATGTAATTTATGAGAGAGAGAAAAAGAGTGTAAATAATGAGAGAGAAAATATTAATAATATAAGAATAATTATTTATTTTTAAAATAATGACATTTTGACATGTTTACTAATATTATTAAAGTATGAATATTATCACTAAATAAGTTGATTTTTTTGACTAGTTAGCTAAATTTTCCTATAATTTATTTACGTTAGTTTTCTATCAACCAAATAATTGGCCCAAATCCACGGCCCGTTCCTTTATTTTAGTTTTATATTAACCTCAGTTTTCGTTTGTGCTATATTTGCTTAAAATGACGAAAGTTTCTGCTCGCATTTAAGCCTTACTTATTTGTCTTTCTTAGTGCTTTGGTTGTTTAAGACACTATTGTTCTCAGTGATAATTACTGCTATAAGGAACTGTACATTTTTAAGCATCGGGCAGTGAAAGTTATTTCTAAGTTAAGTTTTTCTTGGTCATCCTAAGTTAAGTTGAATTCCTGCTTACTTGGTGTATATATTGCCTTGCCATTGAAGTACGTGCTTCAATCAAACAATTTTGGAACAGGTTGTGCCATCACATATAAAATCTATCGTTCCATAGATTTCACAATCTCAAAAGAACTGATGTTGTTCTTTAACATACGGAGTGTCTTGATACCCGTTGAACAATATCTATAATAAGACACTGAATCAACTTCAAATCTTAAAGCCATAGCCTGATGCTTTACGGTTACAACATTATTCTTAAAAGTAAAGTCTTGCACTATGAAGCATTGCAAAGAACCCCTGCATATTGAATAAGAAGAAACAATCATAATTCAACTAAAATAATAAAAGTGTATATAGAGAGAGGGACTTACCAACAATTGTGGTGTCATAGGTTTTGTTGTCATTAACAAAACATCTATTACCCGTTATAATCGTAATATCCATCCCTTCTCCAATCAAAAATATATTAGTCTTCTTTTTATCAACTCTAATATATTCCTCATATGTGTCTTTCTTAATTTTTATAAAGAATGGCTTGACACTGGGATCAGGAGCCATAAATATCGCTTCAACAATTGTATTGAAATTTCCAATTCCATGTTTAGATACAATTGCTGTCACGATACAAAAATGGGTGTGATGACACTCGTCTTATCCCACCTAGACAAGTCACCCTAAAACTTAATTATTACAATAAAATGCGAATAATTTACTATAAACTTAAATTATACCCCCAAAACCTGCTTGTCACATTCACAAGCCTGTTACAACTGAATCACAAGAAAATACAAGTCTCATAGAGTAGAACAAGATCATAAACAAGAGTAAGAGGTCTGCTGAGATGACAAAAGCTACCTTACAAATCTCCAAAAAGCCTCGAAAAGAAGGTAATATATCACAAATGTCCGGGCTAGTAACCTACAAAAAAAATAGTAGAAGCAAGGGGTGAGTACCAAACCACACGGTACTCAGCAAGTAAACCTCTAAACACAAGCTAAGGGGATGAAATACGGGTACTCCTACCACCCAATTGAACCTCCACTACTACCACCTACATAAAAATCAGTCCACCCTAACAGCTCACAATTTACATAGCACATAGCTCAACAACAACACTTAGACAAATTACATATCCTCAACAAACAATACTTTTACAAATTACATATCCTCTACAACAACACTTTGAAACATTATATATCCTCAACAACAACACTTTGAAAAATTATATATCCTCAACAACAAAACTTTAACAAATTACATATCCTCAATAAAAAGCTCAGTAATTATCAATCACAAGTTCCACAGAAAGGCATTCACAAGATCAGCAAAACACAATATCAAGTTCAATTATGATAAGTATATTCAATGCAATGGAATGCAATATCAAGTATAATAATGCATGTCTGACCTAGTAATATACAGACGTTGTCTCTCAGTCCGATACCCATGGGGGACATATCTGTCCATGCATCTACCGCGGCACGCCATACGACCCTCGATAATAGTAACCATCACCGCATGTGATACATCCCTTCAAATATAATATCTATCACGGCGTATGATACGTCCTCGAAACGGTACATTCTTTTTTATTTCTCATCTTTCTCAATGCACATAACAATTGTTACAACCATGTATCAAAACAATGCAAATGATATGTTCACAAAAATAATGAGAAGATGACATTTTTCATAACATTGCACGATTCATAACAAAATCAACAATAATTCAGCAAGTCTTTCAAATCATTTTTCATTATCAACACAACACACACAAGCAATTAATCACATTGTCTTTTTAATACCCCTTTTTTCATCATTAGAATAAATAAGTGTGGACAAGTCAACCCATCACCAAGTCTCATTACTCCTTAACATATACCACAAGGAAATACACGCATTCCACTTAACAAGAGTTTAGAAATTGACTTGCCTCAAATAGTCGAACAATCACTCCGGAACTTGAGTCTTCCTCTTTTCGTTGGACTTCCAACTCAAAGCAATCTATTCACATTATTAATCACAATAAGATTTCGAATAACATGTCAACCCTCATATTTTTAAATTTTAAGTCTAGGGTTAAGTTTCCATTCTCCAATACCATAAATCTAAAGATATTCCTATAATAGAAAGCCCTTAATATTTATCTCATCTTAACAAAATTTGAATTATAACTTGATAACTATAAGAAAATTGTGAAATCAAATCAAACCCATAATTATTGTGCATACTTATGGAACACCGTATAAAATATTATTAGACCAAAATCTCAATATTAATTCATTCCGCAATTCTAATTAACTCCTAATTGGCAATTATTGACTTGGACTAGTGCGCTTTTGCAATCAATAATTCTACAGGTGTCGGAAGTTTGAATAGAAAATATCCTTATCATTGATTCAAAAACTTGTGAATATCTTATTTCACAGATAGGCATATAAAGCTTTAATTTTTTTCAAGGAGATCACATTATTCACTATGTGCAATCACAACAACTCCTTAAATATATATATATATATATATATATAAACTGAAACTATTTATGTCTGCAACAAAAGCAAATTAACACCTTAACCTACTTGTTAAAATCCTACAACTATATTCCATCACCCTCAATTATTAACCAATCATTACTTCTCTAAGTCCAACAATTTCCATCTTCACTTTACTGAAGAATACATCATATTTCCCTCTAATTCGATCTAAAACCATACCAACCGACATTAACATGTCAAATTTAAACTTAATCCAACTTTATTTTATAAAAAAAAAAATGAGTGACATTATATATGAATATACAGACAGTAATAAGATAAATGTATACATGCACAAATCGGGAGGTTTTGGTTATTAGGAGGTCGTCTTCCTCTTTCCAACATTAAAGCAACAATAATAATTATAATTGCACATTAATACTCAATCGCTTTAATATGAATTTGAAAATATTACCTGATTTAAATATATGTTTCCTCTTTATCGATGTAATGTTGCCTCTCTTTCCTTTCGTTGCACTGCATAAAAAAATAAAAAAATAAAAAAAATAAAAATAAAAAATAAAAAAAAAAATATATATATATATATATATATATATATAATTTTTTTGCTACTTGAGTGACTGCTGCTGCTAACAACAGCAGCTTTCAATCTTTTTTTTTTTTCAATTGGGCGAAGCCCTTTTCTTTTTGTTATTCGTTTTTTTAAAAAAAAAAAAATCTTTTTTCTTAAAAATTCTTTTTATGCTTAGTCTACTTATTTTCCTTTTTATTATTTAATAAAACTTAAATAACTCATAACTTATTTATAAAAATTACTAAAAGTATTAAACATACTAAAATGGATAAAATTCATAAAACAACTAAGAGGATCGTTACAATCGCATTATAAGGAGCTTCCGTTTGGCTTTGAACACATAAAATTATTGTTGTAACGACAAACAACGTCATGATATTTTCTGTATTTAAAAAATTAAAAATTTGATGAGTTAATGGACAAAAATTACAAGTAAAATCTAGCGATATGGAAGAAAAATACCACAAAAAACTATCTATGATGGCCATTGCAAAGATGATGATTAGAAAAGAAGTGAAATTCAGTGAGGAAAAGTTTTTCTTTCTTAATAGTGTAGTATTGACAAAGCTTAACAAAATCTTCCTCCTTTATTGTAGAAAACATATACTTTTTCTTGCATGTTTGTGTTGTAAAATGTCATTTTTAAAAGCTCTTTTTTTGACAACTAAATGTCATCTTCGCTGAATTGAATTTTTCTACCATTTTAACAATTACTTACCTAGGTAATATGTAGTTGTAGTAACATTTTAATTCTTAGCTTCGTTGTGGTATTGTTTTCTTCTTTTTATCTTTTCTTATTTTCTACCATTTGTACAACTATTTACCTAGGTAATATTTAATTGTAGTAACACTTTAATTCTAAACTTAGTTATGGTGTTGCTTCCTTCTTATTACCTTTTCTTATTTTGAGGGAATTAACTTGTGACTTTTGAGACATTTTACTTTGACAAAATACAATTTTGTGCTTTCTTTATTTTATTTTAAAAGATGTTTTAACTTTTGCAATATTCTCCAAAATAAATGATTTTTCAAGATATCAAGATGATAGTATTTTTTATTTTTTTCTTCAAAGTTAATTTTTACCTAAAATGCAAAAGATATTCTTAAAGAACTAGATGAAGTAGGGAAAATGGGAAGGAATTAGATGTTATAAATGACAATGTTAAAGCGTAAATTAAAGTAATAATCTTTCCTTTTGTTTTGGCCTTCGATGTATTCTCTTGTAATCATTTCGTATTTAAATTTTTATATTTTGAATATCTTGACAAAAAATTTTCTCTCCATCACTGACGAGGACTGCTCGATGCGCAAAAAAGTCATTTAAACATTAGTTAGTTGATCACGGATAAAAAAATCTTTTTAGTACAATTTTGTAAATTTTCTCCTTTCTTAGCCGAGTTGCTTAGATGTTAAGCATCGTATATTGGGTATGTAGCAAGAATTGATGGGAAATAGAGGGAAAGAGAAGAACTTGAAAAGTTGAGAACTTGAAGAGTTGGGAACTTGAAAGTCCTCTTATGCTTTAATGAAAATGCATTTGTCCCTCATCGGTGATGGAAAGAAAAATAGTAGAGTTTAAATATTGAAACATTCCTATTAATTGTTAAAAGGTTGGAAAGAGGGATCCCCCTCGCGCCGTCGTCGTCATCGCTCATTTCAATTTCGGCAAATGATCGATCAAGAGATTATTTATTGGACAAACTCTATTTTAATTATTTAATTAAGTATTTATTTAACTAATTAAGTAAATGTCAAAAATGTTTTCAATTAGTTAGTTGATAACAGAAATGTTTTCAGCTATTTAGTTGAAATTAACTGAAACGTTTCAACTTTTTAGTTGACTAACCCGACCCGACTCAGATCTCCACTCGACCTGTTTGATTTAAAAACCATTCCCGCTTTGATTAAATTTTCCACCATTTTTGAAAGTGACTGTTTTGAAAGTTTGCAACTTTCAGGAACAGCCAGTACCATTTAAAAGGTTGCAAACTTTCATTATGGTCGTGTGGTTTCTGAAAGGATTGCAACCTTTCGGAACCTGTTCTTCTTGCCTATAAATATCATTCACTCTTCAAAAATTTCCTTACGAGTTTTTTTGATCTCTTCTTTTTCTTGTGCACAATAAATTACTTCACATATATTTTACTATTGTTGACTGGTTCACTGACACCAGAACTTTTGGTATCTATACAATGGTGATTGAAAGCATTTTACCCTGGAAGGTCATATTCCAAATCAAACCTCGGATACTAGAGGGGAATAATTTCCTTAAGGGGACACTGTGAGTTCAGTGGACTTGATCTTTTTCCTTTTAAAAATTTTACAGATTCATGTACGTATTTTACAGATTTTAGTTTTTGTAAATTAAATTTTTGTTCTTCTTTCTTACTGATTTAGTAAATATTGGTTATTTTGTGTTTCTGTGAAATTTATCAAAATTAGTAATTCTGATTTTTTTCTAACACAGATTGGCTACAATCTTAACGAAATTATTCATTATTATTAATTTGTATTTTTGGTGGAGACAAGAATCTTCGTGATTTTATATTCCTTGAAGTCTGCAATTATAATCTATTGCTTACTAGACTGTATTGACTTTTGTTTATCAGAAATGGAAAACAACGGTGTTACAGTGACTGTTGTTGCACCAATCCGAACTGTTGTACCACAAGCAGAGAAACCGGGTAAATTCACTGGTGTGAATTTCAAATGATGACAGCAACGACTATTTTTCTAGCTTCCCACTCTTGCTCTGCAGAAATTTACTAGTGAAGAAACTCCAGTGCCTGCTGATGATATGCCAAACAAAGAAAAATTCATGATTATTGAAGCATGGAAACAGGCAGACTTCCTATGTAAAGGCTACATTTTGAGTGCTTTAGAGGATGACTTATATAATGTCTATAATGCAATAACAACTTCAAAAGAGTTGTGGGATGCACTTGAGAAGAAATATAAGACAGAAGATGCATGCTTGAAAAAGTTTGTGGTCGCAAAATTTTTACACTATAAAATGGTAGATAGTAAAACTGTTGGATCACAAGTGCAGGAATTTCTACTTATTCTCTTTGATCTGATTACTGAAGATATGGTAGTAAATAAGCTTTTCAAGTGGCTACAATGATCAAGAAGTTGCCTCCTTTGTGAAACGATTTCAAGAATTATCTAAAGCACAAACGTAATGAAATGAAGCTTAAAGATCTTGTGATTCAGCTCAAGATTGAGGAAGATAACAAAAACGCATTGAAAAAAAGTTTCATAACAGCTCAACAATCATTGGAGTTAATATTGTTGAAGAAGTTCCTACCAAAGACAAAAAGAGAAAGAAGTTTAACGGGCAGAAGTCAGAACAAGCCAAGAAGAAATTCAAAGGCAAATATTACAACTGTGGCAAGGCTGGTCATAGGTCTTCTGATTGTAGTGCTCCAAGAAAGGACAAAGACAAAGGTAAAGGCGAAAGCCAAGCAAACATTGTGGGAAAGGTGGAAGATGCAGATGACTTCTGTGCAATGATCTCGGAGTGTAACTTAGTTGGAAATCCCAACGAGTGGTTACTCAGGTGTCACTCGACATATTTGCTCTGCGAAAGAATTCTTTGCAACATACTCTCGTGCTAAGTACGATGAAAATTTATTCATGGGAAACACAGCAACATCAAGGATTGCAAGAACTGGGAAAGTAATGCTGAAAATGACATTCGGCAAGGTGTTGACTTTAAACAGTGTCCTGCATATCCCTACTATTAGGAAGAATTTAGTTTCTTCTGCACTACTCGTTAAGAACGAGTTTAAGTGTGTCCTAGTTAGTAATAAAGTTGTAATAACTAAGAATGAAATGTTCATAGGAAAGGGCTACCTCAATGAGGGTCTTTTCTAACCGAATGTAATGGTTGTTGACAATATTAATAAGAATTCTGCTTTTGTTTACTTATTGGAGTCAAATGATTTATGGCATGCCCGTTTGGAACATGTAAATTACTAAGCCTTGCAAAAATTGATTACTCTAGAAGTATTGCCTGATTTTAAATGCAATAAATCGAAATGCAAAATTTGTGTGGAAAGTAGGCTTGTTAAACATTCTTATAAGTCTGTTGAAAGAAGTTCCAAACCTTTATAATTAATTCACACAAATATATGCAATATGAAGTTGACACCATCTCGTGATGGAAAAAAGTATTTTATAACTTTTATTGACAATTGTACTCGATTTTGTTATGCATATTTGCTTAATAGTAAGGATAAAGTAATTGATGCATTTGAGCAATAAAAAAATGAAGTACAAAACCAATTGAATTTAAAGATAAAAATGATTCTGAGTGTTAGGGGTGGAGAATATGAATCTCCTTTTGCAGAGATATGTTTGGAATATAGTATTATTCATCAAACTACTGCACCTTATACACCACAGTCAAATGGTTTGTCGGAACGAAAAAATAGAATATTAAAGAAAATTATGAATGCCTTGATGATCAATTCTGGTTCACCACGAAACCCTTGGGGGGAAGCTATCCTTACGACTAATAAGATACTCAATAGGGTACTCCATGAAAAAACACAATCAATTCCATTTGAGATGTGGAAAGGAAGGAAACCCAACTTCAAATATTTCAATGTGTGGGGGTGTTTAGCCAAGGTAGAGGTTCCTTTACCTAAGAGGGTTAAAATTGCACCCAAAACAATACACTTTGTATTTATTGAAGATGCTGTGAATAGTAAGTTCTGTCGATTTTTGGTTCACCAATCTAATAATCATGATATTCATGTTAATACGATAATTGAGTCAGATAACGCAAAGTTTTTTTAAAATATTTATGTAACAACCCTAAATATGGATAAGATAAGAAATGTTTAATATGTCAAGAATGCCTATGATTAGACCAGGGTTCACACGGATTGATGTGCATAGAACCAGACCTCCGAATCCTTGCTACAATAAAGAAAACCTACTTGGGGAGTTAGTTGAGCTTGGAAAGGTTGAGTCAAACCATGTAGGGCTCTCGAATACGAAGATTTACTTGAAGGAGTCTTTACCGGACTTAAAAAGGGAAAATCTTAGGTTTGGAGGGTCTAGGGGTAAAATGGTCTTTTTCCAGGATAAGTAATTATCCTAAATATATAATTAATTATTTAATTAATAAGATGGAGGGGTATTTTGGGGAGAGAGGGACGAAATTGGGCTCTTGAAGTGAAGTCTTGCTCCACCCCGGTTCTAACCTAGGTGGAAGCAATGAATTAAAGTGCTTTTTTTAAGCTACTGAATTAATGTAATTAATTAATAATTATTATTCATTAGCTTATTTAAAATAAAATAAAATTCAAGTTTTTATTAAATAAACAAAACCTTATTGACTAAGTCCTAAAACTAAACTCCTAAGCCTCCTACAACTCCCACTCTTTCACGTTTATATCTCCACTCTCACGCTCAATCTCTCCTATTCTTTCTCACGTATTTTCTCTCCCAAAATAAGATACAAAAACATAAAAACTAAACCAAGTTATTCACACTTGAATAACTCACACGAAATCATGAGAAAATAAACGTTAATCGCACACTAGGCTAAGGGAGGTTGTCATTCGGGTGGAGTTGATATTGAGGAGTCTTAGACGTGTTCTTGGGGTAAGTTTTTGGGCATCAAGTCAAGATTTTAACGTCAAAAATATATGGGTTCTCTTCTCTCTTGTTCCTTTCCCAGGAGACCCCTTAAGGTTCAGAATATTCATTCTGAAAGCTAGGATTGTTCCCCGTTGCATGTCCTTGTCACTAGATCCCATTGAATCATAA